TGCCCCACTTGTACCACAGGCACAAGCAGGACTAACCCATCACCCTCCTGTCATGGGTGTCCAGGTCCCCGTCCAAACTTGGACTCCAAGCCCCCACTCCTAAGTCCCGGACTCAGTGCGGTGCAAGGACCTCCACCACCCCGCCTCCAATCAGTCGGTCCGGAAAGAGCCGGATCCACGACAAGAGAGCAACGAGTCTTCCCTGCGCCCATACACAAATATGTGCTCAGGATAATAGATCTGTGACTTGCCTCGAGACTTATGCAACGACCGGTCCTTAATCGATACAGACAGGGAAAAAGTGTAACCGAGCTATGCCCTGTTGGCCGCAGGACACAACCCTTTACACCCACCAGTACCCAAACCATATCCCTGTCCGATCACCATTTCCTTTCCACCATTTTATCACGAGTGATCATATTTATCACCTATTTGCGAGTACCGTACTCACGCTACCGATATCCCGAGCATTGCAACTACTCGACCTATACTAGTAGGACTCATAGGTAGATATATTTATGCATGTAGTTTCCATAAAATGCCTATAACGTAAATGCACATCATATATATATTCAGTGATTATTTAAAATAAGGGTTATGAACCGGGGCTTGCCTTGGGCAGGCGACGGGTCAGCAAAGTCAGCATCAAAAGATTCTGGGGCTCCCTCCTGCACGAGGATCTCCTCCTCGTACTCCTCGGTGACCTCCTCGTAATCATGTTCGCCACCGGCATGAACCCTACCAACTCGTGATCTATATGCATGAAATGATGATGCAACACTTAGTATTACGACAATAGCAACTCTTAAAATAAGAATACATCTATCAACTACTAAGTGAGTTCTACCAACTAAAGTGCTAAGCTACCTACTGTTACCACTAACAAGTATGAAGCATGACATACAACATCACAGCAACTAAAGGTATTCTTACTCCTAATACCGATTTACTCTATATATGATAAAATAGGGATAATAGCTACTCTATTTATCAACCTACTCCAGGGCCACAAAATTTACAGCAAGTATAAAATAATCTAGTGAGCTTACTGTAAAATTTTCATAACCATAGCTGTCACCAATTTACCACAAAAATTCCTATAAATATTAATCTACATAATACTAAGCTCTCTAATTTGGATTTATGAACCTATCACAATCACAGCTATCTGTAAACTAACTACACTAATAGCTAGATGGCATTTTTGTAAACCTAACAAACTTGGTTTCACTATTTATGGACATCTACAAGATTTACCACAGTTTATTAAAGTTCAGCTAAAAACTTTATTGAATAAACATTTCCTAATTTACTAGAAATTGGAAAACGCATTCCTCCGCGCGGCCCACAAGCGAGCAGCACAGCCCACTACCGTGACCCGCGTGCGCGCGCGCACCAGCACGGCCCACGTGCGATGGCTCGGCTCACACCGGTGTCCCGCCCGAGCGCATGCGCAGCAACCAGCGCGGCCCACTCAGCGGTGCACGACGCAGCCCACGTTACAAGGCCCACAGCGGAGCCCACGTGCGGCTGGCTCTTTTGCGAAAGAGCCCCCATTCTCTACCCTATTCATGAAACCCACTCGAGCACTATTTCATCGAGTCACAGAGTTTGCATCTACCACCCTCCCCTTTCCCTTCTTTGCCGCGGCCACGTCCCCCCACACTTGTGCGCGCACCGGCGCGGCGGCGCTGGCACCGACCGGCCACACCCGACCCTCCCAGTCCTATCTAAGGAGCCGATGCTCACCTCGACGTCAACACGAAGCAGTGGGAGGCGATACGGTGAACGGGGATGTTGTCCCGAGCTCCCTTCACAGCAGCGGACTTCTCCCTGCGACGGCGGGCGCGTTCCTGTGAGCTAAGGTACCGATATCATGAACAAGCTCAAGTATGGGTAACGGAGACTCACCCTGAACCTACCGGTCGTGATGGCTTGGCCGAAGAATGACCGAGCGGTCCTGGCCACGCGCACACGGTAGGCCTTGCGACGGCGGCGATGGCGCGACAACGGCGGTAGCGCTGAGCAGGCAGCAGCAGGGCGAACTAGGGTGTGCATGGGGTAGAGTGGAGCAGGGCGAAGGTTCAGTGCCAACGAATTGGACGGCGGTGGATGTGGGTTAGGGGAATTGCACGGCGCTGCTGCGGGGTCTTCAAAATGACCGACGGCGACGGAACCGTCAAATTGAGGCTTGGCAACGGGCGACAGCAGTAGTGGACGTCTTTGATGTGTAGCTAGGTCTTTACTCCATCCCTAGGCGCACGCAATCTTACTGCTTTGGCCGACGCTGCGTGCTTACCTCGGCACGGCCCGGCGACAGAGGAATAGGGAAGTTAGGCAAGCTGGCTCAGCGCTGTCGTGGCGCATTCACTAGTTGGGGAAGGACGGTAGCGCGTTGGTGGCGACTCCTCGTGCGCGTACGAGCCTGGCACTCGACGTGCGACCGCAGCTCCGCAACACGAGAGGCGAGGGCGGCACGGCACTGTGCCACAGAGACTGGCATGTCCGGGAACACAGCAGCATGGCGTGGCACCAAACGCGGCGTGAAGGTGAAGGCAAGCGGCCGGCCCACCCGCGTGCAGCCGCAACAGGTCAACGGGAGCAGTGCCGCACGGCAGCGACGGACGGCGAGCAGTGCGACCGGGGTGCAGTGCGACGCGACGGCGAGCCGCGGGCACAGGCGGACGCGACGGGTGAGGCAGAGCAGCCAGGCCCACCGACGCGATGCACGTGCGTGCGTGTGCCAGGACACAGTAGCAAGGCCGTGGCCGGCAGCGCGGGGCCATGCGCGCGCAGGCACGACGGGCGCTCCAGCGCGGCGTGCCTAGAGCCGGTAGGGTGACCGCGGCCAGGCGCTGGCATTGCTCAACACGTGACTTGCACGCTTTTTAAAGCTGTTCAAAAACTCGAACCCGCTGATCCAAACGCCAAACCAGTTATTCTATACTGAAGAGGGTATATAGGACTATCAAACTAAGCTAAAACATCTTGCCACTACTTAACCCGATCATTCTACAAAAATTATCGAACATGGCTTCGTCGACCCATTTTCAGACTTACGTGAAATGACTAAGCTTCAAACGGTTTCGCGTCGAATTCCTTTTCCAAGCTACTTGATACACTAGCTAGCGAACCCGTTCTCGACCATGCGTATTTCACTGTCATTTATGAAGGTCATGCTACAACCTTTCCAAGGTTTCGTTTACGTGTTCCATAGCATTTCCGTTCAATAAAAATTCATCTAGAACCTTAAGTAATACAACGCGACATGAAATGTAACATGCATTTCATGTTTCAAATGGACGTTTCAAGTTCCGCATATTGCTTTATACCCTATGTTACACATGCAGTGTTTTAGCAAAAAGTTGTACAGTGTAACACCGATGGTGTTACATTTAAGAACTACCAATTCAATCTTTTAAAGTCCTATACATGTAAGTGTGAGTAACTTTTACTCCATTTCCTGAATATATGTGAGTTGTTATCAGTTTGGTGATAGTCTACGATGCCGTGGCATAATGGTAGTGGTTACTCCCGTAAATTGTGGCTTGTTTGAATCACTGGACTAAACTCCTAGGCCATCCAAATAGATGGACATGAAAACAGATAGAAACGGGTGGGAAATATCCTCTCTAGTTTCCGTTACCATAATATTTCACCGATAGCGAGAGCAGGATAGTCAGGAGCGGTAGCGGTAGCAGGATATACAGTTGTACAAAAATGGTAAATATGGTCAGAAAATAGGCACAAACGGACAGAAAAGTGACTAGTCCAACTCAACTAGTCTATGTATCCGGATAATATATGACTAAATTTTAATTGGACTGACAATTTTTTTTAATAATGGATAAAATCCGGTTTCATCCCTTGTAACCAACTAACCAAGGGAATCAAAACCAATTATTACAAACGTTTGACAAAACATAAAGCCGGCTCAACTTAAGAATCAATCCTAACATTAAAAGCCATCCAAAATAAGCAAAGAATTTTAAAGCCCCGTTTGACACACATGGATGATGCCCTCTTTGTTTTCTTCACACCGTTCCAGTTCTGCCCAATGTCACAACCAATGCGTTCTCCTAAATAAAACCTCCAAATAAAAGTTTTAGGCTAGCATATATAAAAAAACGGCTTCATTCCTTGTGAGCCATATTGTCCAGCAAATGGCACCCTGCTAACAAAAGAGAATAAATCTAACAACTAGGTGATCCAGACATGCCCTTAACTGCTCAACAAAAAAAAGTTTCAGGCTAGCATCTATCAAAATCGACTTCATTGTGAGCCATATTGTCCACCAAATGGCAGCACGTCGTGTTAACAAAAGAGAATAAATCTAACCACTAATTTAGGTGATCCAGACATGCCCTTAACTGCTCAACAAACCGTATACTATGGCTCCGTTTGGATTCATAAAATCTAATAGTAACTCTTTGGATCCAAAAGTCTAGTCAATAGTTTAGCTAATTATTAGCTAAATACTTGTATAAAAAAATTTGTTAGCTGAATACTTAACTAACAACTATTTCACTAGTTGAATTAAGGTGGTGTTTAAATCCAGAGGTTAAAATGTAGGTGTGTCACATCGGGGTGTCACATGGGGGTGTCATATGAGAATGTTCGGATAGCAATAATAAAACAAATTACGAAAGCCTAATTAATCCATCATTAACACATGTTACTGTAGCAACACACTGTCAAATCATGAACTAATTAGATTTAAAAAATTCGTCTCGCAAATTAGTCGCAATCTGTGCAATTAGTTATTTTTTAGTCTATATTTAATACTCCATGCATGAGTCCAAACATCCGATGTGATATGGACTAAATTTTAGGGGAGAAACTAAACGAGACCTAAACTAACTAATAACAACTAATATTAGCTATAAACTATTAGCTAGTTAATTATTAATAGCTAATGGATCAAACATGGTATATATGTTTAGTGTCATGTACTCGGGTCGTTTAGCCAGACCAAACGCAAAGGAAAAAGGAGTGGAAAACTAAATGGATCCGTCATCCCTATACGGAGTGGCCACCGACAGGAACCTGTCGGCGGTGGTCATCGTCCCGTCAGGCTCCACGGGCTGTACGGGGACTGCAGCGTATGACGCACGGAAAATGTTCATCCGTAACCGAAAAGCATCTGGACAGCGATTCCTCGCGAACGTGCCCTTAGCCGCGTGGTGTTTGGACAGCGATTCCATCGGGCCCGTCGAAGCTGATATTTCACTCATCGTCGTCGGGGCCAGCTCCTTGCCTGTCGTCGTCTCATCTCCAAGTGGACACAGGACCTGCAAGCTGCAGCCGAATTTGGCCATCGCCCATCGCCAAGTCGTTTTACACCTTCAGTCTGGACTCTGGAGGATCATCATCGGCCTCCATCCATCTGTCCGTCATGGCTGCCTGCCTTCATCGGCCATCTCTACCTGAGCAGACCGCCGGCAACCGACACTTGTGTGAATACCTGACTGTGTCTTATTTTTGTGCCAAACAACGGCAGCTGCAAGCCTACTACAATCAGGCCCTCACAAGCAGGAGTGCAGGAGACGCGCCCCAACAGCATCCCATGCATGGCACAAGCTGCACTGTACTTGAAAGTATCCAGCCTGAACAGCTGAGCAGTCACATTGCTATGACTGTATAATAAAGCTACATATGGTATGAGTATGACATCAGAAATTGAGGGCTATATACCAAGCAGATGGCTCAAATAGGCAGCAAGGTTTGGACTTTGGAGGTCATCGGCCAATCCTACGGGAACGGTTTTCAGCTATAGCAATGCTCAATCTTTTTCGCCTCAGGAGTACAACACACGCATCCTTTATCATACAAAATCATCCCTCGCATAAATACGGCCCCAAGAAAACCAACGGAAAAAATCGCTATGGCTAACATATTGATCCAACAATGTACAGATACTGTCACGACGATCGACACAGGTGCTTGCAGAGTTTGCATGCCTGACCAACCAACCAACCAACCGATGAGACTGCAGATGATCTTTTCTCTGTCCCTACACGATATCCAGTTTCTTTATCAAGCACAGACTCATAGCAATCACCGTTTTCCTGATGGCTAGTCTTTCTGATTTTTCCACTTGAAAGGTTCTCCCTTCGGTGCATCCTTTGGGGTGTTATTTCCGCTGCTATCACCAGGTTCACTTGCAGGTGTTTCCACCGATCTTGCTTGAGTTGGAGCTTTTCCACCCCGACGCTCCTGGGAAGGGCAGCACAATGTTAGCAATCTAAGTCTGTGCAATTTGGAAAAATATTACTATATTACTCTTTTCATGATCGTTGAAATTATTTGAAGAAAGAACAAGTTGGCGCATCTCTTGCAGGCTTTGAAGGCGAAGGCACACATAACTTACAGCAAAAACGACTAGGCATACCAGATTGAATCTAAACTCATATGCTGTGAGAACAAATTAAAAAAATGAAGAATGGAGGGCAACCCCCCAATTAACCTACAAAGGATTAATGAGAGCACAGTCCTCTAGCGAGTTGCCCCATGAGAGTCATGGAATTGTGATAACAAGTAAGGGAAACCAATTCAGTGCATATCGTAAAGTAACCTGTACGGATACTTGACTATAACAAGTAAATAAAGGTGTTACCCAGCAAATCCAAATGTAAAGAATGAGTGCAAACAAAGTGTTCATCATGGTGACCTTCTTGCTTCAGAATTGGTGGACAATAAGATTTATGGGCAACAAAATCAATAGGATATTAACATACTAAAACAATAAAGGGCGTACCCAGGTCAGAGAGAGCTCCCGCTCTATGCGCGGGTCCTGGGAAAGGTGTCGATGGCAAGCCTTATCCTCGCTTTGTGCAATGCGAGAAGACCGTGACTCGAACCGGGACCTTCCGGTCACAAAGGTAAGACTCTACCGCTTGCACCAGGCCCGCCCTTCAAACATACTAAAACAATGGGTACTCAAAAATATGCACATGCCATCTTAACTTACATCTCTGTAACGGAAAATCATCAACTTCAAGCATGTGAATGACATGCCCAATCTTCGGTCTCTCTTGCGAGCTTCAGGATCTACGCACCGCAGAGAGCCACTAGCAAAGCCTTCTTCAATGCCCTAGAAGTAGGCTTCTCAGTCATCTTTGGATCCAAAACCCCTTCAGAGTTTCTGTTGCTGACCATTGTCTTCAGCCACTCAACAAGATTAATCTGAAAAGATTGCTCCACAAAGTTCATATATGCAGTTCTCAAGTTCATTATTCAGCTTAATGCAAGGAGGTACCACCATTACTAACCTCCCCTGGTGGCCTGTTGTAATCAACAGGTACACGGCCAGATATTATTTCCATGATAAGAATTCCAAAACTATAGACATCGCTAGTTTCATTCAACATGCCAGTGCCCGCATACTCTGGTGCAACATACCTGCAAGCGATAAAATAAAAATAAGCCACCACATTCTTGCTTATCTTGTGTGATCCTAATCTTATAAGCAGTGTTGATGTTCAACCCAAATGTCCCCATGACCCTGGTTGTGACATAACTCCTCTCTGAACCCAAAAGTTTCGCTAGCCCAAAATCAGAAAGCTTTGCTTTCCAATGCTTGTCAAGAAGAATATTGCTCGACTTGACATCACGGTGAACCACCTTTGGCTCAAGCCCCTCATGCAAATACATTAAACTGCACAATTAGGTAAAATAATGTAAGCAGGCAGTGACAGCCAAAAGAAATATGGACCACAGTAAAAGTCAAAAAGTGCATACCCTTTTGCTGTTCCCAGAATAATCTTCATTCTTATATCCCATGTAAGAGGGCTCACAGGACCAACATCACCATGGAGCCATTGCTCCAAGTTTCCATTATTAACATATTCATACACAAGCATCCTGGAAAAGAACCATATACAATGAAATTTTATGATAAAACTACAAACTCCTTGGTTCTACAATTTCACGATATATAAGCTAAAGCTATTGTCCATACAAGAAGGTACCTTTGGTTGCCTTCAGCGCAATATCCTAACAACCGCACAAGGTTCTTGTGTCGCACCCGACCGATAGCTTCCACCTCAACCTTGAATTCCCGTTCTGCCTGCCCCCTGATAGAACATATAGCATCAAAGTTTATCAAATTCAGCAGCACAAAAACCACTAATTCAAACACACATTTCATCATCTATATTATATATATGGCCGACTACACTACTAAGCATGAACCCTACAAAACAAAACTCAGTCGGATATTTTCTAGTATCAAGTTCTTGCACAGAGTGTCACTATATGAATTGTCACATCTCCATTGACAATTCGTATACATCTTGCTTAGACTATAATCAACATTTTGCAAAAGAAAGACGATAGCCAATTGAACACACAAGCTTATAAATACGGCTATGCTTCAGTCCACAGGTAGCATCAGTACCTGTTGTTGAGCAAGTTTTTGACGGCGACCTGCACTCCGCCCTCGAGCACGCCGTGGTACACTATGCCGTAGCCGCCCTCGCCGATCACCTTCTCGTCGGCGAACATGCACGTGGCGTCCTCGAGCTCCTTGAGCGTGTACCAGTGGCCCCACCCCAGGTGCGAGACCTCCGGGACCCCCGGCTCCCCGCCACCGCCACGGCTCTCCCCGCTGGCGCCCCGAGACGAGGGCCCCCCGCTCCGCTGGTGGTGCGGGGGCGGCGGCTGCTCCGGGAACGTGATGCGGTGCTCTTTCCCCGTCTCGATCTGGATGGAGTCCGGCGGCGGCGCCTGCAGAACCTGGGCGAGCGGCGCCTTGGCCGGGGCAGCGGCGGGGGCCGCGGCGCCGCGGGAGGGCACCTCCTGGATGTCCTTGGGGGGCTTGGCGGCGGGGTGCTTGGGCTGGGCATTGGGCACGACGACGGGGAGTTGGAGGACGGGGGCGGCGCGGCGGCGGCGGCGGCGGCGGGAGGCGAGGAGGCAGAGCAGGGAGAGGAGGACTAGGAGGAGCACGAATGCGGCACCGACACCGATGCCGACGAGCTCCCAGAGGTGGAGGCCGAACACCAGCGTGCCCTGGGACAGCTCAGAGTCCGACATGGGCGCCGCGCTGCTCAGCTCAGCTCCCCCGGCTGCTCAAGCCGAAACGGAATGGTGGATCTCCCACCCAAGAACCCCCAGCAGAATTGGGCGCTACCAAAGAATGAAGAAATTTCCCAAGAAAAGAACCGCCAAGAACTGGGGTTTTGCAGGGAATTGGGCGCGCGAAGCCGGATTCATGCGGGGAACAACCAAAGTGGCCAAGAATCTCTGGATTTCTGCAGGGGGCGGGCGCAGGCAGTGGGAAAGGTATGACTTTGCGGGGAGGGAGGGGATTTAGGACAGGATGGAGTGACGAAAAAGGTGGATTTGGAGGTTGATTGGGCCCGAAAAGGTTGGATTTGCGGGCAATGTGGGGGCTGAGACTGGATTATTTTGGGGGCGTGAGGAGCGACGAGCGAAGCGTGGTTAATTTAGCTCTGATGCAAGCATGGATTTTGGCGTGGAGGTGGAGGGACGGAGGGTGGTGCCCGGTGGTGAGGTGTGTGGCTAACCTGGGTGGCTGGGTGGTTGGTGGCGATCATTAGAGGCCAATCACAGTCCAAATCAACAAGAAATGCACACAAGGAAGCATGGACAGTACAAAAGTGACTGCTCAGAGAGAGTGAGAGTGTAGCGACTAGTGAGTAGAGTACGTACGATAGATAGAGGGAGCGAAAGGGCGAGTGGAGAACAGAACAGGGAGGAGTGGAGTGCAGGACCAGTGGGAGGGAGAGGAGAGGAGAGAGGATCACAAAACAGGAGCAGTGACAGACAGCCTGACAGGGTGTTTGCATAATTGTACAGTATTGGCGACTCCGGCTCTGTTCTACCGGACTTTATTGCTGCTGCTACGGCTGATATATAAGATTAGTTTATTGTAAGAAAAAAATATTATTTTATGATTGAAAATGTAGAGCCAACTATAACTTACAAGCTTAAGTGAACAAAACCTAAGGCCTTGTTTAGTTGGTAAATTTTTTTAAAAAAATAATACCGTAGCATTTTTTAGCACAACAGGATATTTTTTAGGTCGCAAACGCAAACAGTCTCGATTTCAGACGCGAGCGGATCGAGCCCACGAGTGGCAACTTGCACACCCCGTTTTCAAGTTCAAGCGTGGGAATCTCAGGATCGGATGATTCCTGTTCGGCTGCGGCCACAGCCGACAGCCTACAATCGCTTTTGCTACAATAAATCTATGAGAGGAAAATGGCAGCCGTTTTTTCTACTCTCACAAAATTACTATATTAGTAAAAGCGGCGGTAGCAGCAGTCCAACGAACAGCCCGGTTCGTTTCAACTCGTCAGCATGATATCGTATTTTTTTCTCATAATAAAATAGCACCAGTCAACTTATCAACCGCAAAAACCATTAGTCGAACAGCTTATTGTATGTTTAAGATGAGGCTAAAAGTGAACTTGTGCTATTCCTAAATTTTTTTGCCCCGTTCGCTTGACCTTATAATCCGCACTATTCAGCTTGTTTTTTCAAACAGAACAGTGTTTTCTCTCACAATAATTCAGCCAGAACAGTATTTTGACTTGTTTTTTCAGCCAAGTTCAGCAAAGCGAACAGGGCCTTTAAGATGAAAGAAAAATTATGTTAAATTATAGCTAAGTACATTGTCATGTTACAGGTACTTTGAAATATAATACATATATCTAAAAATTGTTTTTCATCTACATTGTACCCACACCTCGTATAGCTCCAAATCTAAATTCCAAACCTGTACGATGATTCATATGGATGACCGCACTGACAAACACTCAGCAAAAGGCTTAAGAATATATGCCCAACGAACGATGACCAGTACAGCAGTACTCCTATAGGCGGAATTGAGCATAAACTTCTTTCTCGTGTCTTTCTTCTTCTTCCTTCAGTCACCGAAGAATAAGGAAAACCAATATGAATCTTCCCAACTCAGTACCATTAATCGGCTTGAGGAACATACTTATTCTCACTAGTCCTTCATCGTGGTCAGATCTAACCACAATAAAACGAAGAAGAGGCCGGTGAAAATTATTCCATGACGGCAATATCATCTCCACCTTGATGTCGCCATCCGAAAACCTAAAATCTTCATGTCGTCATGCCAAGGAAGTTGCTAACACAGTAGTTTTTCCCCTCATCTTCATCAGAGTCACCATAGAGAAACCAAATTCATCTTATCTCTTCACCATCGCTGGAAAGGAGGAAGAGGAGACAAATCTCCAATACCAAGTAACTTGGCATGGAGAGACACTAACTCCAACATAACTCGATCTACTTAAAAAAACTTATTAGAGAGGTGGATCCTCACTTCTTTCGGCCTCCGGCGAGTTGCCAAAGGAGGAAAGGAGGGGGCCGGCGGTGGTGGGGGCGGGGGCCTACGGCAGCGTCGACTACGCACTAGGGGAGGGTTTCATTTCACTATTTGTAAGACTTGGATTGAGAAATGAAACTGGCTCTCTCAGTGGAGGGTTTCATTTCACCGTTTACAAGACAAACTGCAATAGTTAATATGTTCATGATGTTGTGATTCTATGTGCCGTATAAACTATGTAGCGAAAAATATATCTAAAATAAACCTAGTCACTTTGATAACTACAATATACTGTGTGCTGACAAATAAACATTGTAAAATAAAAAATAATTAATCCAATATTCATTAGTGTATATGCATACATTAAAATGATTACCTATAATTTAAGATATACGAAATCTTCGATGGAAAATATAGAAAGAATACGGAGAATTTTCCAGAGAAAGCCAAAGCACTACAGTCATCGTTCACACTACACGCAAGCTACAAGTATCAAGTTCATACGTACATGCATCGGATTCATTCATGTACGCGACGCATGGGAGAAAAATTCCTGCATGCAAGCCGAGCCGTCCCGTCAAGTACTGCTCGTGTCCTTAGCAGCCATGTTCCCGTTTCCGTCCCCGGAACGGAAACATGAACAGGAATTTGAGATATCATTTCATAACGTGAGAACAAGAAGATTCATGTTCTCGAAACGTAGACGTTCCCGAAACGTGGAACATGGAACATGAAAACGGGAATGTGGCCATGTTTCTGTTCCTAGGCTGCTAAGCTCCTGTCCCGTTACGTACTACTCCAGATGCGAATCAGATACGTACGTGACCAGAAACCGTCGCGCCGGAAAGGAGAAGACGCACGCGCGACGCTGGAAAGGAGAAGAAGCACGCGACGCAGGGGATCCACACGGGTGCTAGATATTGAAACTCGTTGCTCTCAATGCAGGTTTCATGGCCTGAGTAACCGTGACAACTGAGTTTTATCCTGATGAAACACTTTTTCTCTCTCTCCTAATAAATATCTCGCCACATAAGCAGATTTGCTGATATGTCATGTTATTTAATGAGAATGAAACTTGGTTGAAACCCCTATTGAGACTGGCCTTAACGTCCTATAAACATTACCATAGTTGTCTGGGCGCGGTCCTCGTCCGAGGGCATGATCCAAACAGCCTATTTATACAGATTGGTATTGCTAATTATGTTGTTTATTAAAAAAGTTGTATACACTAAATCTGCCGACGGATATTAAACCACATGCAGCCATTTATATTGGAGCTTGTGGTGGGTCCACTAAGACTCTATGAAGTCATGTTTATGGTTCTATTTGGATCTGCTAGGCGCTTCAAATTAATTAAGGTTAGTCAGCTATTTGACTAACAACTAGTTAAAAACTTTGACTAAAAATTTAGCATATCTATTGGCCCCTATTAGATGGAATAGGATTAATTTTAGCTAATTTTTATTAGATAACAATCAGTGCTTCGTATGAAACACATCCAATACACATGCTATTTGTCACGTTATGAAAGTCGTCCATAATGGATACTCCATCCGAAAAAATACAATTCTCGTATTTTGAGAAACTAAATGCTTTTAAGTTTAACTAAATCGGTAAAAATATCATTAGATTTTCAAAAACTTTCATAATAAATCAATTTAAAGATATAAATGCGAATATTATTCACTGTAAATTTGGTCAAACCTAGATTACTTTAATAGGTACCATAGTTGTATTCTTTTGTTGACGGATGAAGTACATAAAAGTAAACAAACAAAAGGTATTTTTTGAGTAAAAAAATAAAAGATATTTTGATATAGAAAATGAGTGCAATTGGAGAACGACCCGAGAACTCTGATATTCACGTGACCTTCGTGCCAAGCAAGGGTTTTAGTTACATTCTAAAAAGTAAAATACATTATTAGACCTACAGTGCACTTTGTCAAGACGCCTTAACCAGGCTGTCTCCAACAGGAGACCTATTGTGGGACCTAAACTTAGAATGGGTCTCCAACATAATATCTATAGCCTCCAACAGAGTACCTATATGGAAGACCTATTTTAGGAGCCAGGAAAGGCATAACCCAAATCTGAATATCCTCTCTCCTGAAAACCTATTTACAGAAATAGTTGTCTTTTGGGTCTTTTTGTTGGAGAAGATAAAAATAGATATTAAACTATTTGCCTGTAGCACTATCCAAAGAATGAATAGGCCTTATATTTTGGATCGCGGTTGTTGGAGACAGTCTTACCCTTCATGACATGGAGAGCCTTTGTCACAGAGGACGTGTTTGCTTTAAAACCTGAGCCAGGTAAGTCTGTTAGGCACACGCATCTAGACCCAAGCGTATGCCACCTATTTACTTTGCTGAAAAACCAGACTAAAATGTACTATTAGCTAATTTGTCGTAAGAGAAAAATACTGAAATCAGGCAGATAAGATCAAAAAGGGTCTGATGCCTACATCGGACAACGCTGGTTAGCCATAAAGGAAACATATCAAAATAATAGTAAGTCGGCAACAGATTATTATCATTGCCATCTCCACGTTTCTAGGGGTAGACAACTGAGAAATGTGTAAAATGATATTTAGATGTTGAAATGACTTATACGTCGGGGGATGAATTTTTTAGTATTTCAACCCTAGTTGCAATGTGTGGTCTACCTTATAAGAGTGTTACAGAAGCTACTCCCTCCGTCCTGTAATACAATGCAT